AAAAAAAAAAAAAAAAGAAACTCTACTAAGAGATACTGATGGCCTAGTAAAAATAATATTAAGTGGTCATGTGGCTAGCAAAGGAAAAGTAAACACTGAATTTGGAAAGGGCCACTAGTGAACTCTTTTTGGTGATACTAAGTAATTTAGAAGTATTTTTACTGTTCTATACATTGCAGCCATTCAGTTTAGGATATCCTGGGCTCTTCTGTGAGTATGCGGATCAGCATGCTTCTTCTCTAATTCAAACAGAGTGAAAAGGCGCACAGTATTTTTATGGACACAAGTGTTGTTTACTTAACTCTTAGTATATCGATATGTTCATATAAGTAGTTGGTTTGATGTTTTAAGCTAGGATATGGGATGAAAAGACTAAGTAAAGGGATTTGAAAAATAAATTATAACAAAGAAAAATATTTGATTTTTTAAAAAGAACTATTCTAGAAAAGATTTATGTCCCTGAAGTTTTTGTTTTAACTACCAATTTGTATTTGAGAATGTGCTAAAAATGAAGTCTCTTTCTCTCTGCTCTCTAAAGGGGATTACACAGGACTTTTGCTTCTAAACAATGGAATAACAGGGATTAAATTTTCTCCCCATTTTATTTTAAAAGTTATTCCTATTTGGGGGCTATTTTCCTTTAGTCTTACTAAGGTATAATTAAGAAAATTTGTATATATTTAAGATGTACAGTATGATCATATATATGGCTAGAGTGCATTGGCATGATCTTGGCTCACTGCAATCTCTGCCTCCCAGGTTCAGGTGATTCTCCTGCCTCAGCCTCCTGGGTAGCTGGGATTACAGGTGCCCACCACCATGCCCAGCTATTTTTTTTTTCTTTTTTTTGTATTTTTAGTAGAGATGGGGTTTCATCATGTTGGCCAGGCTGGTCTCAAACTTCTGACCTCAAGTGATCTGCCCACCTCAGACTCCCAAAGTGCTGGGATTACAGGCATGAGCCATGGTGCCTGGCTAATACAATATTATTAGTTACAGTCATCATGTTGTACATTATTGGATTCTTAGAATTCATTTATTATTTAATAACAAAGTTTGTAACTGCTAGAAAACCAGATAAAATTTATGAAACAGTAGTTTTCTTTATTTATTTATTTGAGATGGAGTTTCACTCTTATTGGCCAAGCTGGAGCACAGTGGTGGGATCTTGGCTCACTGCAACCTCTGGCTCCCAGGTTCAAGCGATTCTTCTGTGTTACCCTCCAGAGTAGCTGGGATCACAGGCGTGTGCCACCACGCTTGGCTAATATTTGTAGTTTTAGTGGAAAAAGGGTTTCACCATGTTAGCCAGGCTGGTCTTGAACTCCTGACCTCAAATGATCTGCCTGCCTCGGCCTCCCAAAGTACTGGGATTATAGGTGTGATCCACTGAGCCAGGCTGAAACAGTAGTTTTGAGAAATTGGACAAAAGGCAGCAATAGGACTTTGATTTCTGAGAGAGGAGAAGCACGTGAGAGAATACCTATGATTACCTGAGCTTATTGCCCAGAGAGTTTTCAGGCCATGGCACAGGGAGAGGAATCCAAACAACCTAGAGTTGAGGAGCATAGATTGGAATTTGGGGAGGTCAAAGAGGCTAGAATTTGAGGTGGTGAGTGCAAGAGAGTAGATCGCTATTCACAGTTCCAAATATCTGAGGATGAATCCTTTTGAGTGTTTGGCTGATCACTGATCTGGCCATGTATGAGAAGAAACTACCTGTGGCCTGGGAAAAACTACCAGAAAGCAGTAGCAGGCTACGCAGTTCCTGTACCTTCACACAAGGCTGGGAATAGTGTGTATTCCCTGCAGCCACAGTGGAAAGACTTTGACACATACAGGGTATTGGGTAGAGTTCTCAGAAGGCTCTTGCCTTAGTAGTGAGTCTAGATTAGTTTTACACTACAGTTCTTAAAGGTAGGTCTTGAAAGAATTAAATTAACTGTACGCCAGGGCAAAGTATTACACAACTAAAAGAAAGAAAATAAAATCTAGCACCTGATCATGTTAAATTCATAGTATCTGGAATCCAACAATTATCAGAGTTATAAAGACACAGGAAAGTGTGAGCCACAACCAGGAGAAAAATAAATCAGTAAAGATCCAGAAATGACAGTTGATGGAATTGCAAAATAAGAATGTTAAAGCAACTAGAATAAATATGCTCCATATGCTCAAAAGGATAGAGAAGAATATGACTATGTTAAAGAGAACTATTGAAAACAGAAGGAAGCCCCAAATGGAAATTCTAGAGAGGAAAACAATACAATATCTGAAATGGAGAATACACTGGATAGGATTAACTGAAGATTTGCTACAGCAGAGAAAAAGAAGTAATCAGTGATTTTAAAGACAGTGATAGCAACTGTCCAAAATGAAACACAGAGAATGAAGTGACTGAAAAATAATGGCGCATCAGTAATTTGTAGTTTTATTTTTCCTGTAATATCCCTGATAAGTTTTGGTATCAAGGTAATGCTGGCTTCATTAACAAACTGAGAAGTGTGCCCTCCTCTTACATTTTCTAGCAGAGTCTTCAATATGAAGGCTTATGTCATAAACATACTAGAAAATTTTCAGATGTTTTTTATATGCCTCTCCTCCTATTCTTTATATTTTCCTTGTCCTGGAGTTCTTGACCTTCTGCATCCCTCTTAATCTTTTATGTTTTCTTCCTTCTTATCTATTGTTTCCACATTCTCTGAAATTTTCTCAAATCTGACTTTTATGAAAACAGTTCCATCTAATCTGCTCTTTATCCCTTCAAATATCCTTGTTTGTTGCATCCACAAGTACTTGGAGCACTGTTCACTTGGGTGTAAATTTTGAGTGAGAACTCATCTCTCATATTCAGGGTAACTCTTTGTGGTTGTTTGTTTATATGGGGCCCTAGGGCTTTCAGCTGTCTTGGACTAGTATTTATGCTAATTCCTCTGTTTAGGGCTCCTATACTACACAGGTAGTTTAATTGCAGATGCCATGAATGGGTTATCTGTTTCTTGTAGTTACTTGTCCTACTCCGGAAACCCCAAGCTGATGGTTTTGTTTCTTGATGATAGTAGAAAAATACAGTTTCTATATACTTGGGGCTTTGAGTTTTCTCATTTTTTGGAACTTGGCAATTTCCTATTTTTTATTCTTTAACATAGCTTGTATTTTATTTATTGATTGATTGAGATGGAATCTCTGTCACCCAGGCTGGAGTGCAGTGGGGTGATCTCAGCTCACTGCAATCTCTGCCTCTCGGGTTCAAGTGATTCTCCTGCCTCAGCCTCCCGAGTAGTTGGGATTATAGGCCTTCACCAACATGCCTGACTAATTTTTGTATTTTTACTAGAGATGGGATTTCACCATGTTGGCCAGGCTGGTCTCAAATTCCTGACCTCAGGTGATCCACTCGTCTTGGCCTCCCAAAGTGCTAGGATCACAGGTGTGAGCTACAGTGACTGGCCTTAGCTTATATTTAAATATTCTGTTCTGGCCGGGCGCGGTGGCTCAAGCCTGTAATCCCAGCACTTTGGGAGGCCAAGGCGGGTGGATCACGAGGTCAAGAGATCGAGACCATCCTGGTCAACATGGTGAAACCCCGTCTCTACTAAAAATACAAAAAATTAGCTGGGCATGGTGGTGTGTGCCTGTAATCCCAGCTACTCAGGAGGCTGAGGCAGGAGAATTGCCTGAACCCAGGAGGCGGAGGTTGCAGTGAGCCGAGATCGCGCCATTGCACTCCAGCCTGGGTAACATGAGTGAAACTCTGTCTCAAAAAAAAAAAATAAATAAATAAATAAATAAATATTCTGTTCTAACATTTCCATGTAGTTTTGGTGAGGAAAAAGGGATGCCTTTGAGTATTATGTTCTTGTTTTGGAATGTTATTTTTATTTTTGTTTGTTTAGTTAATTATAAAGTTAATTTGACTCATTTATTTTCAATATAATTTCCTTTTTTCTCTGTAGAGATTATTTTTTCGTGACTTTTCCTGGATTGTTTGTTCTTGTTTCCTTTCAGAACTGTGATAGTTCAATAACTAAGAGAGTTTTGATGAAATATATTTGTTTATACAGGTACCAAAAGTGTTTCACTTTCTTCAAAACTGTGAATTTAACTTTGAATTGAGGAAAATTTTGAGTATATTTAAATTCTTATTTTGTAAAGATACACCATCCCAGAGAGTTCAGTTTATCCTTGGTACTGAAGATGATGATGAAGAACATATTCCCCATGATCTCTTCACGGAAATGGATGAACTGTGTTACCGAGATGGAGAGGAATATGAATGGAAAGAAACTGCCAGGTAATACTGCTAAGTCTTGTTCTTGTTTTTTTTTTATTTTTTTATTTTTTTGAGTTTCGCTCTTGTCACCCAGCTTGGAGTGCAATGGTGGGATCTTGGCTCACTGCAACCTCTGCCTCCCAGATTCAAGTGATTTTCCTGTCTCAGCCTCCTGAGTAGCTGAGATTACAGGTGCCCGCCACCACGCCTGGCTAAGTTTTGTATTTTTAGTAGAGATGGGGTTTCACCAAGTTGGCCAGGCTGGGCTCAAACTCCTGACCTCAGGTGATCCTCCCACCTCGGCCTCCCATAGTGCTGGGATTACAGGTGTGAGCCGCCGTGCCCAGCCTAAGCTTCATTTTTAAATTGGCTTTACTTGATTTCTTTTTGTAATGGGAATATTAAATTGAAATTATGAGATATCTGGTGCTTTAAACCAGTGTGCAGAGAGTTTCCATATTAATTGGTAGAAATTCTATCTTTAATTTTTCAGTTTATTCTCAAATTTGTTTACTTAATTATGCTTTGTTAAAGAAATTATATCATTGTAGATTTTAATGTCTTTAAACTTAGAAAATCAAACTTTTGTGTACTGCAAGTTTAGAAGAGGAATAGAAGTAGAAAGTATATGAAATTCCATAGTTTGTTTTTGTAGGCTTTTTATTATGGTAGCTAGGATAGAAAGAGGAACTACAAAGGAATATGTGACTATACAACTTATAGACCATTACTGTAATTTGTGAAAATATGTTGGCAACCAAAGTTTGTTTGGTCGTGTTTTCTTTGTTTCTTTTTTTAAAAGAACAAGTTTTTCTGTGTCACATTAAGATAAATGGAATCTTCATTACTTATAAAATATTTGTACATATTGTATATTCAGATGGCTGAAATTTGAAGAGGATGTTGAAGATGGCGGTGACCGATGGAGTAAACCTTATGTGGCAACACTCTCTTTGCACAGTCTTTTTGAACTAAGGAGTTGCATCCTCAATGGAACAGTCATGCTGGACATGAGAGCAAGCACCCTAGATGAAATAGCAGGTTATAGTAAACTGACTTTTAAAAATTATGTAAGATGTACCAAAATTAGATAGTTTAATAAAGTGGAATTTTAGACGTTCATTTAACAACTATATGTTGAGCATCTATTCTGTGCAGTGCAGTATAAGGAAATAAGATAGACATTTTGTTTTTGATAAAGTTAGAGATGAGGAGATTAAATTAAAGAGACATAACTGTAGTATCAAGAAGAGATTGAATAGTGCTACAAGCAAATACAGAGTCTGTTCTCTGGAAATTCAGAAAAGAGTTTTTTGTAACAGGGATGTGGAGAATATCCACAGATAGTATTAATTGTACAAGTTATTAATAAAATGTGAATACATGGGAACAAGAAGTACATAGTACAAGAGAAAAAGTATTTTAAGGAAGAGGAAGAAAAGTCTAGAGAAGTAATAGACAGGAGTCTCAGGAAAGTCAGTTCTGTGTGAGTATATAGATTTCTTCAATAGTGGTAGGAGATATGTTGGGAAAACCAGTTAAAGATTAGACTGTGGCTAGCCTTGAATTGAGATTATTTTTTTGGGTCGGGGAGGGACACAGGGTCTCTCACGCTGTCATCCAGGCTGGAGTGCAGTGGCACGATCTCGGCTCACTGCAACCTCCGTCTCCTGGGCTCGAGTGATCCTCCCACCTCAGCCTGCTGAGTAGCTGGGACCACAGGTGGGCATCACCACACCCGGCTCATTTTTGGATTTTTCGTAGAGATAGGTTTTTTGCCATGTAGCCCAAGCTGATCTTACACTCCTGAACTCAAATGAACTGCCTACTTTGGCTTCCCAGAGTTTTGGTGTCTGGCCAAGAAATAGGATTTTATTTGGTAGGCATTTTGGTGGTCTTGATGGTTTTTAAGTTGAGGAATAGTGTGGTTTGAGATATATTCAGGAAGATCATTCCTGCAACAGAATGTAGGGTGGCTTTGGATTAGAAAGGGTTTTGAAGCAAGCAGAGCAGTTACTCTCTAGGAGCAGTCTAAGCAAGGAAAGATCTCTGGTAGGTTGAGCAATGAAAATGAATGGAGGGGATTTGAAGGATAATGGTAGAAAGTAGGAAAAGGCAGCTCTGATACAGCTTTTTGTCCACTAACTAAAATTGATGAAAACCAAAATTAAGCTCAGTGATAATGAATTTGATGGCGTGACTATCATTGTAGATTGCTCCTATGGAAAAACAAAAAATCTGTAGAATTTAATCTTCAAGAGAACCATGAACTTAGAATTTCTGAGGCTAGAAATACTTCAGTTTTAGCTCACTGTTAGATTTGACTGTGTGCTACAAATATTTAAATTGGCAGTCCTTACTTGCCTTACATGAATAACTGAAAAATTAAGTTAAGGTTGGGCGTGTTGAATTTGTATAATACATATGGGTTTCAGACTTTGGTTTGCAATGATCACATAACACCATTTAGTACTTTTAGTAGACGTTGTATAACCTAGTGTTCATTTGTTTGGTAAACTATAGTTGTTGTGTTAATGTTACAGTTTACCTGTTAGGCTGGTCCTTCCGGGGCTTTGTTTTTTTTAGACTAACCATATGGTTTTGGAAATTTGACCCTCTTCCAGGTTAGTGTCACTGTTTAAAAATATTAATATATATTTTATAAATTAAACATTGTTTAAACACCTCAGTAATGTATAAAATGGCATTACCATCAGTTTTCCCATACCCCACATCCCCTTCACAACCTGATTTTACTCCTCTTCCTAGAACTTATGGCCTCATGATAGTTCATCTATTTGTGTGTCTGTTTCTCTACGTCTTGAAGAGAGCAAAAACTTGGCTCTGTTTTGTTGTTGTTAAACTGCTGTATTTCCAACACACAGCAGACATTCAGTGAACAATTAATGGCCGAGTGGGTCCCGATATTCATCTGCTGGGACAGTTTTGGGGGAGAACACGAGGTTTGGCAATAAAATACTTTTACATCTTAGGAAGCCAGTATTGAATATTCAGCTTGATAGAACTGATTGTACTCATATAGGAAAGCACTTTCAGCTATAGGAAGGCTATTAGTATATGATAATAGCCTCTTTGTAAATAATGGTATTTATTAAAATAAGGGGGTCTCTGTAATTGATTTTATTGGATGGATAATGTTCATGTTTATTTATCTTTAGGCATTGATTATTTAATAGTGACAATAAAACTTTCTATAGCTATTTAAGGTTCTAATTTTTGTCATAAGGTTTCACTCACAGTTTGTTTATTCCTATATTATGGTCATCTGAGTCTTTAGTAACTTATTTTTTTCTTTGAATAGATATGGTATTAGACAACATGATAGCCTCTGGCCAATTGGACGAGTCCATACGAGAGAATGTCAGAGAAGCTCTTCTGAAGAGACATCATCATCAGAATGAGAAAAGATTCACCAGTCGGATTCCCCTTGTTCGATCTTTTGCAGATATAGGCAAGAAACATTCTGACCCTCACTTGCTTGAAAGGAATGGTGAGATAAGTTGTGGCATCCAAGTTTTGCTAACATTTCTGCTGTAACAGCTTTCCAGTATGTTACGATTAACATTTAGGGATATTTAAACCCTCACTATACCTACTCCTGAATTACTTCTCCTTCCTGCTTTGTTTCTTTTCAAGGCCTCTTGTATAATTAATTAAAGAGGCATAGATTATCTATAATTTTAGTTATTACCTTTTTGAAATTCTAAATCTTGGGGTTGAACCTTTATTTTCGATTAAAAAATTTTTTTTTCTCCTGAGTATACTTGATATGCTGGTATAAGCAAGTGTTTTTGGGTTGGTTGATTTCATGACCCCTTGTTATTACAACTTGTGAAAGGCTTTTATGACTGCTCCAGCCTTACGCTAAGGGTGTAAGGCTAGTTGCAGTTTTCTAATCCATTGAGAATGGCTCAGACCCAGGTCTACATATCGTGCCTTTCCACTCTCATTCTCAGATTACAGGCAGGTTGCATGGGATATGGGAAGACAGTGTTTTTGCAGTCGTTGACCTCTGTCAAGTGTCTTAACGCCAGCACACTTGGAGATTTTGCCTTGCCTTATTTTCTTCTGTGTAAGGCAGAGGAATACATCAGTAGAGTTGAGAACTCTGATGACAGTGAGTCTGGAAAATCCAGATGCAAAGTATTGGAGTGGCTTATGGAGGGAGAGTCACTATAACCTCCAGCAGTTGGTGTAAGCTGCCACTATTACCCAAAACTTGTGAGGATTACAGACAGGACTAGTGGAGTGTGGGACACAGTGTCTGCTCACCTTTTTTATCCCTGAAATAATAATATGACTTTTAAGTGTTCTACCAACAAACAGGCATAGATGACAGGGTCTCATATATCCAAAGCTGACAGTCATCTTTTCTATCTTCCACTTGGCCATGAAAACCCTTTTTAATCCGTTTAAAATTATGCCATAGTGTATTGAAGCAATCTTAAGAGTAAAAGAATATCTCTTACGGACCAAAGTTCAATGTAAAAGCAAGCCATGTATGACACATTTTAACTCTCTTTTTTATCTTTATTTGTTGTATATTCTCTCCGTTGGTGAAGTGAGTTCATTTATCCAGAGGGACCCTATTCAATCTTTATTCTTCATATGCAGTAATTCCTGATTATTGTCCATTTGTAATTTGGTCATCATAAGACGATGGGTGTTTTCTTTTAAATGCTATTTTAGCATGTCCTTTTGTTGAAATATAGTTATAATTTGAGTTTTTCCTGCATGTAGCTTATTGTTTAAACAGTCTTTTCTAATGGATTCTAGTTTAATCTTTATTTTTTAATATTTCTGAAACCTCTTGAGCATGTAACTTTGATTACTTAGGCCATATGGAATTGATTATTGTTTTTGCATGTTTTTCATATAGAATGCTATTTTTTTAACGATGTGCTTAATAGAAATATGAGGGATTTAATTATAAGTATGCATGACCTTTTGAAATATTCTAGACCTACTACCATATTGCTGTTGTTGGTGAGAAGTACTTTATTCTTAGCTAGTTAAATAAAAAATTATATGTATTTGTTTTAATGTATCTGCTATGTATTAGAAGTGAGAAGCATACTTTAGGACATTTCTTAATATTTTTAGAGAGCTCAAGAATACCTTATTTCTTTAAAATTGACATTGTGTTTATCTTTTATAAAAAATTATGTAATTTGCACCTTTTTTTTTTTAACTTGAGAGCAGCACCACCTGTAGATGGTGTCTTACTGACTTAATATTATAAATATGTCACATAGGTGTGTTTTTTTTTTTTTTTTGAGACAGAGTCTCACTCTGTCACCAGGCTGGAGTGCAGTGTCATGATATCAGCTCACTGCAACCTCCGCCTCCTGGATTCAAGCAATTCTTCTGCCTCAGCCTCCTGAGTAGCTGGGATTATCAGTGCCCACCACCACGCCCGGCTAATTTTTTGTATTTTTAGTAGAGACAGGGTTTCACTGTGTTAGCCAGGATGGCCTCGATCTCCTGACCTTGTGATCCACCCACCTTGGCCTCCCAAAGTGTTGGGATTACAGGCGTAAGCCTCCACGCCTGGCCAATATCAGTTTTAAGTTAGAAATTATTAGGTAAAGTTAACATGGACTTTTCTGTAAGAGATAATTATCTGTAGCTGTATGGTAAAATATAGGTAAAATACACTATAAGCTATTAGTTTTGGTTATTTTTGGTTTACTTCTCACTTTATATTTTCATTTGCTATTCATTATTTAAACAGTGACTTTGTATTGATATTGTCCTTTTGAAAAATGCCATGCTATTGGCCATTCTAATGTCTAACAGGACATTGCCCCCACCATTTGTCATTAACAGTTTTTTGTTGTTGTTGTTTATATGGTCTGAGAACTAATTACAGTTTTAGGCTACTTTTTATTAACTTTCTAACATGTAAAAACTTGATTGACATGCTAACCATCATAGCATGACTTTGAAATTTTGGGCCTTTAAAGTGTATAATTTATAGTGTAAATTGATTTTTTTAAATGTCTCTATTTGCCTTCTGCAGCAAACTTCATCATTTTTCATTTATTTGTTTTATCTCAGGGGAAGGCCTTTCAGCCTCCCGCCACTCTTTGCGAACAGGTCTGTCTGCCTCAAACCTTTCACTGAGAGGAGAATCGCCTTTATCTCTTCTTCTCGGTCATCTTCTTCCTTCTTCAAGAGCTGGAACCCCTGCAGGCTCAAGGTGTACAACCCCAGTACCCACCCCTCAAAACAGTCCTCCTTCTAGCCCTAGCATCAGCCGCCTGACCTCCAGAAGTTCCCAACACAGTCAGCTTCAGGCCCCAGAACTACTGGTTTCACCTGCCAGTGATGATATTCCCACAGTAGTAATCCATCCGCCTGAGGAAGACTTAGAAGCGCTGAAAGGCCAGGAACAGAAGAATGAGGAAAATGTTGACTTAACTCCAGGCAACTATCCAAAATCCTCCATGTGTGGTGCTTTCTGCCTCTGAGTCACTTGCACTTGGAATGCCTTTTAGCACATAGCTTAAGCAGCATATGTAGATGATGCTTATCATTTATTTTGACTTCTGCATGTTTTTTTTTTTTTATTTATAGTATATTGTATTGGGTTGGTGCAAAAGTAATTGCGGTTTTTGCCATTGAAAGTTTGCTTTACTTTCAATGGCAAAAACCGCAATTACTTTTGTACCAACCTAGTAAAAAAGAGTAAGATTATTAAAAACTGAGTTACGAAAAGACTACCAAGAAAACTGCACAAAATTAAAGTCCTTTTAAAAGGTTTCACTTAGATTTAGAGGTCAAGGCATTTGAACACTTTAGTAAAATGTAGACATTTTTTATGTTTTAATTTGCCATGAACTTATTTTATATTTATTTATGTATTTATTTTTTTAGACCAAGTCTCACTTTGTTGCCCAGGCTAGAGTACAGTGGCGTGATCTCAGCTCACTGCGACCTCTGCCTCCTGGGTTGAAACGATTCTCGTGCCTCAGCTTCCCGAGTAGCTGGGACTACGGGCATGAGCTACCACACCTGACTAATTTTTGTATTTTTTGTAGAGACAGGTTTTTACCATGTTGGCCAGGCTGGGTGAACTTTTTTTAGATTGGTAATTTTTTTTTTTCCCCTGGAGATGGGATCCTGCTCTGTCACCCAGGCTGGTGTGATCTCAGCTCACTGCAACCTCCACCTCCTGGACTCAAGCAATCTTCCTGCCTCAGCCTTCCGATTAACTGGGACTTCAGGGACATGTCACCATGCCTGGCTAATTTTTATGTTTTTGTAGATACCAGGTCTCACCATGTTGCTCAGGCAAGTCTTGAACTTCTGGGCTCAGGTGATCCACCCACCTTGGCCTCCGAAAGCGCTGGGATTACAGGTGTGAGCCACTGTGTTCCACCTTGGTAGCGTGTGTGTGTGTGTGTGTGTGTGTGTGAGAGAGAGAGAGAGAGAGAGAGTGTGTGTGTGTGTGTGTGTATGCAGTTCACTCATAAGGTGAGTGAACACATATAAATAAATTACAATGAAGTGATGTGCCTTAAATAGAGATAGGGTTATGCTCTGTTACCCGGGCTGGAGTGCAGTTCCAGTGCCACAATAATAGCTCACTGCAGCCTTGAACTCCTGGGCTCAAGCAATCCTCCTGCCTCAGTGTTCTGAGTAGCTGGGACTACAGGCACATGCCACAATATCTGGCCAATTTTTTTGTAGAGATAGGATATTGCTGTGTTGTCCAGGCTGGTCTTAAACTCCTGGCCTCAAGCAATCCTCCTGCCTTAGCCTTCCAAAATGCTGAGATTACAGGTGTGTGTCACCAGGCCCAGCCATGCCTTTTTTTTCTATTTGATTTTCTCCAAAGAATGTTATACATTTTAGCCTTTTTTGAGGGGCAGGGGGTGGCATGGACAGGGTCTCACTCTGTTGCCCAGACTGGAGTGCAGTGGCACAATGTCGGATCACTGTAATGTCCGCCTCTGGGGTTCAAGTGATTCTCCTGCCTCATCCTCTCAAGTAGCTGAGATTATAGGCATGTGCCACCACCACTTGGCTAGTTTTTATATTTTTAGTAGAGACGAAGTTTCACCATCTTGGCCAGGCTGGTCTCACACTCCTGACTTCAGATGATCCACCCGCCTCGGCCTCCCAAAGTGCTGGGATTACAGGCATGAGCCACCATGTCTGGCCATGTTTTCACCTTTTTAATGAAGATAAGATTCAGTGTTCTTTTTCTCCTTTTGCCTCTGAGAAGATTGAAGTTCTCTAATGACTGACTGCCTTGAATCATTATTTCTAGACTAGTATTTATATTTTGGAATAGACTGTAGTTGTCCATTGTTTATGCCATTATCTATCTTTAACCCAAATTTACCTTGAAATTTTCAGGACCAGAGTTCTTATAGTTACAGATAAAGTATATTTTTATATGCAAATTAGATTTTTTTTTTTTTTTTTTTTGAGATGGAGTCTCGCTCTGTTGCCCAGGTTGGAATGCAGTGACATGATCTCAGCTCACTGCAACCTCCTTCTCCTGGGTTTAAGTGATTCTCCTGTCTCAACCTCCTGAGTAACTGTGATTATAGGTGCCGGCCACCACATCCAGTTAATTTTTTGTATTTTTAGTAGAGGCGGGGTTTCATTGCGTTGGCCAGGCTGGTCTTGAACTCCTGACCTCATGATCCATCCACATAGGCCTCCCAAAGTGCTAGGATTACAAGCATGAGCCACCATGGCTGACCAAAATTATTGTTTCTTAATGGATAAATGGTTTACAACTCATCTTAAAGGCTATAAAATATGATAATTTAGCTTATCCTTATATATTGATTATATGTACATGTGTACACATCTTTCTACCTAATTAATATAAAATAAGTGTATTTTAGTGACTTTTTTACTATTTCAGCTAAGCCTCAATGTGAGATACTAATGCTATTTGTTTTAATCACATAAGCATTATCACATTCTCCAAAATATTGATAGTATCTACCACTTGAGTGGTAACTTGGTTATTAAATTAGCCTATTTAATGTGTATACAAATATGTGTAAGTTAGATGGACACACCCATTTTCAGAAACTTAGAAAAATTAGTTATCTTTCCCTGCATCATATAACTAGCAATTGATGGCCTGAATCCTGTGACTGGAAATCCTTGTGTTTCTATAATTGTGAGATAAACCTCTCTCTCTATTGGCTTTATGGAAACACACCAATTACATGTAACCAAAGCTCACTGTAGTCGCAAAAAAGGATATACTTTTGGAAGTACAAATGGAAGTTTCACGGCTAAATCATTATAACATTAGTTATAGTAGTAGTATGGCTGCCATTAAGTGCTTTTCAAATATCATATTTCTAATTCTTGTACCAATTTGATGAGGTTGGTGTTATTCCTGTTTTTCAGTGAAGAAAGACTTGGAGATGTTAAGATCAACCAAAGCAGGGATTTGAACTCAGGTCCACTTACAACAAAACCTATAGTAGAGTATTTCATTGTGAACTTTATCAGTTCATGAAAAAGGTAAAGCTTAATGATGAGGTAACTGAACATAAAAGAGGAAAACAACCCTAGAAATAATTATTCAGAAGTAATCAGCATTCTAATGTTAAGAACTAACAAGATTTACTATTTTTCCTTGAACAAAAGTGATTTTAAAAGCTACTTCCTTTCATTTTTTTTCCCCCATATTACATTGATCAGTAACACTGCACACTTCTTGTTTTACCAGCTTCTATGTTATAAATAATTAGGAACTATAAATTTTATATAGGAAGGAAGGGGGAGGTGAGTTCACATTGGCTTCTTAGGTTGTATTAAGGGCATAAATTAACTGATAATTGAACATACATTTTTTTTCCCCTTGAGTTTTCTGTGGTGAGGCATATCAGCCTTTCTGAATAGACGAAATTAGAATGGAAAGGACAGAGGGAATTTCTAAATACAAGAATGACTGGTTAAAAAGACATCTATAAATAATATGTAATTGCTGAGGAAAAATAATAGGAACAGCTATACATTATTCCCTGTTCAATTACCTTTGGTGCTTAAAGCTTATAGAAACTCTAATAGAGTTTCCTTGATGCCTGGTACTGTCTTAGTGGAAGAAAGTGGCCTCAGCATCATTATGTCTCAAGCAACTAACACCGTAGATTTTTGTGTCATGTAGTCATGATTTGTGCATATGTATAATAAAAAAGTGGTATTTCCCATTAGTTACTTTTTACACGATAATTATATGTATAAAAGGTGAACTTGTGGCTGGGCGTGATAGCTCATGCCTGTGATTTCAGCACTTTAGAAGGCCAAGAGTGGAGGATCACTTGAGGCCAGGAGTTCAAGACCAGCCTGGGCAACATAGTGAGACCCTCATCTCTAGGGAAAGAAAAAAAAAAGAAGTGAACTTATTTTTAGTACTTGTAAATACCTTTTTCTAACCCAGTGCTTCTTAGTCTTGGCACTGTTGACATTTTTGTCTGGATGGTTCTTGGCTGGGTGAGTGGGTGGTGGCACAGCAGTCCTGTGCTTTATAGGATGTTTAACAGTATTCTTGGCTAGCTGCCTGTAGCACCCCTGAGTTGTGATAACCAAATATGTCTCCAGATATTGCCACAAGTCCCTTGGGGGGCCATAATCTTTCCTGGTTGGGCGCCATTGTTCTGTCTACTTCACTTTCAAATTTTTAATGACTGAAAACTCTGACATCTTTGATTTGCTTTTTTTTTTTTTTTCCTTAAAGCAATATAGTCCTTCTGTGTTTGTGCTAATGATAGAGAACTTTATTTTTTTGGTGATTTGCTCATTTAATTCTGAATGCTAGGAATTTATTATAGGAGCAGGGAGTCTTTACTGATTGAGAAAACAGTTTAGCTGAGGTTGGGAAAGACTACACCAGTCGTAATGATGCAGAACTGTAGCATGCATCTACGTGCCAGTTTTGAAAAAGTGACAGGTTTTCAAGATGACCAGGTTAGCCATGTGACTCCAGGTCATACCTGCTGGCTTTGTCAATGTGGAGTTCTTTGTTGTTTCTTCTCATTGCTGCCATATCCTTACTTTTCCTCAAAGCCTTCTCATCATTCCACTTTTCTCCCTCAAATCTGGCAGCTAGGACTATTCTGGAAAACAGTGCGTTACGTATGCTTTTGATTATACATGCACAGGTAGAATACATTTAGCCTTTGGAAGTATGTAATGCTCATCTGCATTTGCCACCAGGTCCCAATGGTGTTCTTGATTTTCTTGTGTGGAAGTAGTTGGAAGTCACTGAAAAATACTGGTTAATTTTTTTTCTTTCTTGGGCAAGGAAGGTACTCTTCTGGAAGTTTAGGGACAAAGGTCAAAGACGAGGAATCTTCTTGGTGTGCTAAGCTGACATTTTAAGAAATGAATTAAGACTTGGGAAATCGTTTTTATTTCGGAATTGTTTAACTTTTCCAGAAAATGAGCACATGGCTAAATAGTTGCAAATTAAGATTTTTTTTATCACATTGACATTGTAGTTTAGGTATTTACAGAGAAGCGACGATGACAGCAGTCTCTGTTATTAAGCATATGCCATAAATCCAGATGAGTTAGTTTCAGTATTTATTGTTATAGTATATTCTGTTTTACAAAAGTGAAAACTCCTTTAGATGTTTCCAGTATATAAGTACTTTACATTCTGGAACTTGATTACCAATGCAACTTCAGAACTTATAGAATCTAACCACAAAACAGATTTTAACTGAACTTCCATGTGTTCCTGTGCATAGGACTGTTAAAACTAAAGTTAAAGTCTTTTGTATTTCAGTACCTTTCCCCCTCTAATATTCAGTGTTTTACTAGTCTGTATTCTTGGACTAGAAAACCTCTGATGTTTTGGAAAAAAGAAATGAGATGCATTTAGTGTTAGGTTGGTGCAAAATAAATTGCGATTTCAGCTCACTGCAACCTCTGCTTCCTGGGTTTAAGCAATTCTCCTGCCTTAGCCTCCCGAGTAGCTGGGAGTACAGGCACATGCCACCATGCCTGGCTAATTTTATATTTTAGTAAAGACGGGGTTTTACCATGTTTTTCAGGCTGGCCTTGAACTCCTGACCTCAGGCGAACCGCTCACCTCGGCCTCCCAAAGTGCTGGGATCAGAGATCACAGGCGTGAGCCACTGTACCCAGCCGAATTTAAAATTTTTGAGATTTGAAATTTTTTTGAGACAAAGTCTTACTCTGTAACCCAGGCTGGAGTGGAGTTGCCCAATCTCGGCTCACTGCAATCCCCACCGCCTGTGTTCGAGCACTTCTCCTGCCTCAGCCTCCTGAGTAGCTGGGATTACAGGTGCCCACCACCATGCCTGGCCAATTTTTGGTATTTTTAGTAGAGATGGGGTTTCAGTGTGTTAGCCAGGATGGTCTTGATCTCCTGACCTTGTGATCTGCCCGCCTTGGCCCCCCAAAGTGGTGGGATTATAGGCGTGAGCCCCTGCAACCAGCGGATTAGTCTTATATTAAGCAGTGTTTTTATTTAATTTATTATTGTGAAATGTTGGTGTTGAATGTCACTTTTAAAATGAATATCCTAATGCTTCAACATGTATCTATCACAATACAAATGACTATCATTTCTCCAAATAAGCTATATTTTATGGATTTGTCAGACTCTTAGAGATGGAGTGAGTTTCTTCTAGTCACATAGATACAAAGTGGCAGAGTACATAATTTAAACACAGATCCCTTTTGTTATAAAATCCTTACTGTTTGCCAGTTACTAATATAATAGGCATTTTAAAGTTGGATTTTTTAGAAATAATGACAATAGGTATTATAGACATAAATGTTACCAAACAAAAATGAAAATTTTGGGAGATTATGTTAATTCAACCTCCATTTAGTTCTTGTAGCTTTCTTCTGAGTTACACTTAGGGTTTATCAGAGAATTTATTGTTGAAAGCTTGCTAAGTATAACTAGGCTTCATTAAGCTCTATGCACTTCACATGTTTGTGATATATTAAAAGTACATTCCCTAAGTATTTTTAATGATAATCAGACTCAGGTCTTCCATCTTTTGTGGTTCACACCAATTCACGTTCTTTTTTTTTTTTTCCTTTTTGCAAAAGGCCACCATTTTTGTAAATTCTAATTGTATTATTTTAAATATTAAAATGTATAGCTTTATTATTGCTTAAAATGTTCTAGTTTTGCTTGTATGTTACTAACACTGGGCACCTTTTTTTTTTTAACCTTGCACATTTGCTTTTATAATATTAATAAATTATCACTTTCAGAATGTGAGCAGAGTCAGGTTGCAAAGTGAATTTTCTCCTTACTAATTTGGAATTTGTCTTTGAATATAGGTATTTTGGCCTCTCCCCAGTCTGCCCCTGGAAACTTGGACAATAGTAAAAGTGGAGAAATTAAAGGTAATGGAAGTGGTGGAAGCAGAGAAAATAGCACTGTTGACTTCAGCAAGGTAATCCTGTCATTAATTATAAATTCTCCTAATTATTCTTGAGAAAATAAGTAGCAATTTGTGGCATTGGTTATAGTAATTTTTTAGTGGACTGGTGCTTACAAACCTGCATGTGATGCCTGTGATATGTTAATTTAGGTAAACAACTCTGAGAAGGGTGCACTTAACCTGTGAGTACTTGAACAACTTTACACCATTACTGGTTTTAGAAATTCTGAAAAAGAATATGTGAATACTACAATATTTCCATCTATACCTACCCATAGAAAGGTCAGGACTTTTTGAACTATACAGGAGTCATTTGTTCTGGAGCTACCACCACTAGAAGGTTAATTCTGGGAGTGATGTTACAACACTAGTGATTCAGTCTTTCCTGCGCTGTAATGCGATCCCAGAATTACTGTCTTACGGTGTCAGTACATTTGGAATGCCACTAAGAAATATATTGGTGCTTCCCCATGGGTAGGTAAAGGCATGGATTTAAAAAAAAGAAAAACACCTATGTGAGCTATGATTCTTTTTATTTTGGTAAATGAGTATTTTGTTGAAATAGATGAACCTTAATTAAAAAGAAGAGGGCAAAAGACTGCTGAGTTCAAATTATAACTAAGTTTAAAGTGTACTTTATGAGAATTTCTTATGAAAAACTGATTAGCCACTGTAATTTTTTAGTAGTATTAATTTGCTATAGGATGATACTCATGGTATTTTAATATTTTTGTATCCATTGTTAGACTTTTTAATAAATGTAATCATGTCAAGCAGACTTATTTCTTAAGCCTTTTATTCTTTGAACGTTTTACAGAAAAGGATTTTAAATGGTTTGCATTATAGCTTCATTGAGTGTTGTAGTCTAAAACTATAGGAAGCCTTGCGTTATGGACACTGGCTGGGCAGAAAGGCTGTTGTATTTTAAATTTTTAGCATCTATGTTGATCGCATTTTACTGGTGCTCATGCTATTTTAGATACTGCAAAGTACTCGGTAACAAAATTGCAATTTATTTCTTGTTAAATGAATAAATTAATGTAATGTACATTATAGAGCTCCTCTAGACATGGCAGTTGCCGTTTATTTTTGTTCCTCTGTCACAGTCTTACTTTTTTTTACTTGGCCTATCTTTGTGTATACCTCCTTGTCTCCTGTTGGGCAGGAGTCTGCCTCCTGGCACTGTAGTTGTGGCACACTGGGTGTGGGACTCAAGAGGCCCGCTGTAAGTGCTGGTTTTATTTTTCATAGATAGCCCTGTAAGTGGTTGTCTAGTGACTTGTGTGAAACTGCGTATAAATGAAGTTCACATAATTTGATATCATGTGTAACCTTTCCCTTGTAATTATACACAGAACACTAAATTTTACTGTTATAGCATTATCACATACCTGTGCCAATAAGGGCTGTAGATTTTAGTTTTAAATAAAAACAAGGGCCCAGGTGCAGTAGCTCATGCCTGTAATCCCTATTTTGGGAGGCTGAGGCAAGAAAATCACTTGGCCTCGAGTTCAAGACCAGCCTGGGCAATAAAGCAAGACCCCCACCTCAAAAAAAAAAAAAAAAACAAAAAAAAAACAACGAAAATTAGCTGGACATGGTGGCGCATGCCTGTAGTCTCAGCTACTTGGGAGGCCAAGGTGCGAGGATTGCTTAAGTCCAGGAGTTTGAGGTTTACAGTGAGCTATGTTCCTGCCACTGATTCCAGCCTGGGCAATAGAGTGAGACCATGTCTCAAAAATACTACTGATGAAATAATGATTTTTTTCCACTTAATGAAAATACTGGGGAGTGCCCAGAGTTCTTTTTTGGTTTGTTTGTTTTAAGGGGGACTTTACATAAAATGTAAAGGGGCCAATTCATTTATTTCTAAGGTTAAGTAATACAAAATCATGAATATTTTTTAGCACTGTGTATAATTTCATGAACCATTGTTAGTTTGTGAACTATATATTTGTCCTTAATAGTTTTTAATGAATAGTGCAGTATTCATTGAAAAATTTCTCAAGTTCGTGTTTGATAATTTAGATCTCTGAAGTAGTAAAGATTGTGACAGTTAAAACAATAGCATTGATTAAAATGTTTGCTTGCTTTTTTGTATTTGTGTACTCCGTTCTTTATAGTTGTGAAAATTTTGACATTTCATACATTCATTAGATCACAAGTTTTGATTAGTAAATAGTAGTCTTATAAAGCAGTTTTTCTTTCCTGTTTGCCTCTAAATAGTCTTACAAATACCATGGAAACTTTATTTCTAATTATTATTTATTTGTCAATAGGTTGACATGAATTTTATGAGAAAAATTCCTTCGGGTGCTGAGGCATCCAATGTCCTGGTGGGCGAAGTAGACTTTTTGGAAAGGCCTATAATTGCATTTGTGAGACTGGCTCCTGCTGTCCTCCTCACAGGATTGACTGAGGTCCCTGTTCCAACCAGGTAAAGAGTTAGTTCCAAGTAACATTCTCTAAGCATTTTCAAAATCTGTAAGTTTTTGTCTAGTGAACAAACAAACATGTTGATTTATGTAATAAAAGCTCATTTAATTTTATCTTATTTTTGAGACAGAATCTCACTTTGTCATGCAGGCTGGAGTGCAGTGGCACAATTTCAGCTCACTGCAGCCTCTACCTCCTGGGTTCAGGCGATTCTTCTGCCTCAGCCTCCCTATTAGCCTGGATCACAGGTGTGCAGCACCACAGCCAGCTAATTTTTGTATTTTTAGTAGATGTGGTGTTTCACCATGTTGTCCCAGCTGGTCTTGACCTCCTAGTCCCAAGTGATCCATATGCCTTGGCCTCCCAAAGTGCTGAGATTATAGGTGTGAGCCACTGGTGGCCCACCAAAAGCTCATTTTTAATAGTTAATATTCGGCCATTGTACCCAAGCCTTCGAATATTAGGGCATAAAATAGTTTTCTTCTTGGAACTAAAAAGTACAATAAAAATAAAGTATCCTATAATTTAAATTAAGTATAATTTAATTAATGAATAAAAGTAATACTTTGCATTTGTACCTTCATTACATGCTCGGTATCTTACAAGCTTTGGTTTTAAAAAAAAAAAGCAGTTTATCATCTTAGAGGATTTATCTAAAGTTTGGTGCAAGCAGTGGAGTCAGATAATGGAGTTGCAGCTTTTCTCTGCCACTTTCTTTCTTCATGGAAGTGGGGTCAAGCCTGACTTAAATTTTCTGTTTCATTTGTAAAATGAGGGTGATCTCTTACAAGGTTGAGTAACTGTAATAAGGCCTTCGAATTAGGCAAGATGCTTTGTTCTAGCATAACCAAATTTTTCTGTTCAGTATACATCATAAGTAAAAATTAAATTGGGGGTAATGGCCATAATAATAATTAACAAGTTGTATTTTAAAGGGTGATCATTTTGTTGGCTATTAATGATAGAAATTTCATTGTAAATAAGACTTTTTAAGATTTTTTTCCAATTATTTTATAATATAATCAAATATGAAGAATTAGTAGGAGATTAATGGAAATGTACTTACCTGTTTGCTTTACTCGGTTGATTGCATTAATGATGCAGTGTTAAGATGTATGAGACAGATAAGCCCATGGATTCACATGTAAATGCTGATAGAGAAGTGGGATAACTATTTCCAGTTTAGGTAAGTGTGAATATTAAGAATTTACCGTAGTGTTAACTAGGATTAACCAAGTAGGAAGTTAAATACTTTTTATGTAGTCACTAGCATAATATGAGGTTTAATGTTAAAATTTGGAGTAGTAGGCCAGGCGCGGTGGCTCACACCTGTAATCCCAGCACTTTGGGAGGCTGAGGCGGGCAGATCACGAGGTCAGGAGTTCAAGTCCATCATGGCCAATATGGTGAAATCCATCTCTACCAAAAATACAAAAATTATCTGGGCATGGTGGCATGCGCCTGTGGTCCCAGCTACTCAGGAGGCTGTGTGCCGGAAGAATAGCTTGAAACCTGGAAGGCAGAGGTTGCAGTGAGCTGAGATCGTGCCACTGCACTCCAGTCTGGGCAACAGAGCGAGATTCCGTCTTAAAAAAGAAAAAAAAATGGAATTGTAAACAGAAGTTGTTTTTCCTTCCAAAGGAAACTAGTTGACTAAAATTCCTTATTTATAACACAAGAAAAAAATGGGGTTGTACATAAAAGTTCTTTTTCCTTCCAAAGGGGACTAGGTGACTAAAATTCCTTGTTTATAACATTAGAGTTTTTAATCCAGAGCTGTAATTTGGGGAATTGTGTAGATTTTAGGGGTATACTCAACTGTCTTATTTGGCAAACCTTACTTTCAAATAATTAATGGGATTGTTACTCACTTTATTTACTAATTTACTTTTTTTGATCAAGGCAGACCAACTTTGTTTACTCTAAAAGGAAATAGAAGCTGGCAACTTTTAATAAAAAATGCTTAATTTTTAATTACCGTTTTACCTTAAGGAAGATGTGCAACAATAATTTGGTAGAAAGTTATTATGGATGCTTTTTCTAGTTTTGTGATTTCCTTTAGTCTAGGTGGAATTGCCATCCTTTTTCAGTGATTGGTGTGGGGGACTGGAAAAGACGTCTGAGTGTTGTTTCTCTGTTTGTATTTGAAGGGTTTCTTTTTTATGGTTGCCTAGATTTGTGGGTGTATGATGTTTATTTTAAAATCTGTGTATTTTCATGTTTCCTTAGGTTTTTGTTTTTGTTATTGGGTCCAGCAGGCAAGGCGCCACAGTACCATGAAATTGGAAGATCGATAGCCACTCTCATGACAGACGAGGTAATCAAAATACCTCAAGTCTCTTTGAAGTAGACACTGATTATGAAGCCTATAGTATATATTATAGTTCTCTTTTCTTTCATAGTGAAGCTTTAAAAATTATCCTTGTTGTGCATACTGTTTTATCTCATATTTATTTACTCCTCAGCGATTTACCTTTGGTTAGGTTGTTAAGACCTATATAAAAATATCAATGCTGTGTGTCCTAAAGATATTTCAAGTGCCCCATATCTGAACCTGACCTCATTCTTCTTTTTCTTTTCTCCTTCTTCCTCCTCCTCCCCATCCTCCTCCCATTCCTCCCCCTCCTCCCACTCCTTCCCCTCCTTCCCTTCCTTCCTCTCCTCCCTCTCCTCCCCCCCCTTCCTTCTTCCTTCTTCTTCTTTCTTCTTTCTTCTTTCTTCTTTCTTCTTTCTTCTTCTTCTTCTTTTTTTTTTTTTTGAGACAGATTCTTGCTCTGTTGCCAGGCTGGAGTGCAGTGGCACGATCTCGACTCACTTCAACCTTTACTTCCCGGGTTCAAGTGATTCTCTTGCCTCAGTCCTGAGTAGCTGGGACTACAGGTGCGTGCCACCATGCCTGGCTAATTTTTTGTATTTTTAGTAGAGACAGAGTTTTACCACGTTGGCCAGGAGGGTCTCCATCTCTGACCTCGTGATCCGCCCACCTTGGCCTCCTAAAGTGCTGGGATTACAGACGTAAGCCACCATGCCAAGCATATTTTTCTATCCACTTTCAACCAGCCAGTCACCAGATTCTGTTTACCTCGTCAATGTGTTTTGCATTTAATCTGTCATATTCTTTCTATCTCTACTGCCATTTCTCTGGCTTAGCCTTGCTTTTATTTGTTGATTCAATTAGCCTTTATGGTCTTTATTGTATGGTTTTTTCTCTACATTATTAGTAACATGCCAGTTCGAGTGTATAGTCCAAAGTTATTAATGACTTCCTATCATATAGTGAGATTTAAATTTAAACTCTTGACTGGGTGCAGTGGCTCACTCCTGTAATCCCAGCATTTTGGAAGGCCAAGGTGGGTGGGTCACTTGAGGTTGGGAGTTCGAGACCAGCCTGGCCAACATGGTGAAACCCTGTCTCTACTAAAAATACAAAAAAGTAGCTGGACGTACTGGCACAATTTTCCTGCCTCAGCCTCCCGAGTAGCTGGGATTACAGGCCGGTGCCACCACACCTGGCTAATTTTGTAGTTTCAGTAGAGATGAGGTTCCACTATGTTGGCCAGGCTGATCTCAAACTCCTGACCTCAGGTGATCTACCCGCCTCGGCCTCCCAAAATGCTGCGATTACAGGCTTGAGCCAATGTACCTGGTAAGTTACCTCCTTTAAGAGACCTCTTCTGGCTACTCTGTTCTTTCCCATCAGTTTCCCTTTCTGTACCCAACTTTCTTTTTAGGAGAGAGTTTATCAATACCTACGATTATTTATTTAATAACTTGTTTCACTGTCTTTCCTCCTAGAAAAAAAGGTTCTTGAATACAGGGACCTTGCCTTACCTGTTACCGTTGTATTATCCACAATGCTTAGAATTGTATTCTAGCAGTTAGTAGGTAGCCAGTAAGTATTGGTTATTAAAAAAATTAAGTAAAGTTGTTTGCATATCCATGACTTTTTTTTTTTTTAGGATAAATGACATTTAAGTGTCATAGAAGTAGAATGACATGCTCTAGTGTTTCATTTTCCAATCAATTATTATTTCCCATGCAAAATTTTATTTTAAAAAAATTGTTCTGTCTTAACACATAACTGTTCTCTTTCATTGTTTGTTAATTTGTCTGGTAATACTGAGTGGATTGCCTTTTATAGTTGTTACCTAAGGTGGGCTAAATACCTGTCTGGGATAAGAGTTTAAGTAATTATTTTTTTGTGAAGATATTTATGATATCCAGAGTGGATTTACTATGTGTAGAATTTTTTTTTTCAACTTTAAAATCTTTTTACTCAATATTTTTTTCCCTTAGATTTTTCATGATGTGGCTTATAAAGCAAAAGACAGAAATGACCTCTTATCTGGAATTGATGAATTTTTAGATCAAGTAACTGTCCTACCTCCAGGAGAGTGGGATCCTTCTATACGCATAGAGCCACCAAAAAGTGTCCCTTCTCAGGTAAGAATCTAGAGCAATTTTTCTGTGAGTTACTTTATTTTAATTAAATTTTTTTGAGTAGCTATGATTTGAAAACCAAAACAGAGAAGTCGTATCCCCACCTCATCCCCTTACTTTCTTACCCCCACATGTACCTCCTATAGGTGACTATGTGTTACTAGTTTTTTATCCTTTTAGTTTTTATTCAGTACTTGAAAATATGAACATGTAGTCTTATTTGATTCTCTCACCAAAAGTTAATGTACTGCATATACTGTTCTGAACCTTGCTTTTTTCATGTAAATCTAGAAGATCTGACACAAGAAATCATAAAAATATTCCCTACTCCCTTTTTCACAGCTTTGTTTTGTTCTGTATCGCTATACCATAGTTTGTTCTGTTCCTGGGTTCTGGTGTTGTCATTCTTTTGCTATTTCAAATTATGCATGATAATAATCACATGTCATTTTAGTCTTGTGCAGATGTATCTGTAGAATAGATCCCCAGAAATAAGACTGCTGGCTCAAAGGGGAATTTATTTATAAGTTTAGCAGATATTACCAGAATTCTCTCCATTTGCTGGACTGTTTTGGACTCCTACAGTGATGTATGAAAGGGCCTATTTCCCTACATCCTCACTGACACTGTGTGTTGCCAAAGTTTTGGATATTTGTCAGTCTAATAGATATCTTTATCTTGCTATTTTAAGTATTTGAATGAGGTTTTAAATTTAGTGTTTATGAGACAGGCAGGGTCTTGCTCTGTCACTTAGCCTGGAGGGCAGTGTTGTGAACTTGGCTCACTGCAGCCCCAGTTTCCTGGGCTCAAGCAAACCACCTGCCTTAGCCTCCTGTGTAGCCTGGACCACAGGTGTATGTTACTACCCCTAGCTAATATTTTGATACTCTGTAGATAACGGCGTAGATATGGTGTCTAACTTTATTGTCCAGGTTGGTCTCAAACTCCTGGCCTCTAGTGATCCTCTTGCTTCAGCCTCCCAAAGTTCTAGGATTATAGGTGTGAGCCATTGCTCCTGGCCTTTTAATGAGGTTTTAATTTGCATTTCTATAATTAGTGAGGTTGAATATTCCTGATAATCTTTTGTTCATTGCCCCACTACAGTCTTTTTTTTTTTTTTTTTTTTTATTTTTTTTATTTTTTTTTTTTTTTTTTTTTTTTTTTTTAACATTTAAATTGTTCATTGATCTTTGGAGGTTATCATAGCGTATTTTGTGTGGGTATAGATCCACTTCATCTTTTTTCTAAATTGCTGCCTGGTTGTCCCTGTTCATTACAGAGCTAAACATTGCTCCCTTGGTTGGTGATGCTGCCTTTATTAACTAAAATTCCATTTGCATTCAGGCCTGTTTTGGACTTTTGTTTTCCATTGGTCTCTCTATTCACGGACTAATTCCACACTCCAGTTATTGAGGCTTTTTGGTATATTTTAATGTCTGGTAGGTCTAGACTTGTTCTTGCTCTCTTTCTTACTCTTGTTTTTCTGAGTTTTCTCGGCTGTCTTTGCTGATCTATTTTTCTGTGTAGGCTTTAAAATTGGCTTTCTATATTCAGAAATACAATGGAATGGTTTTTAAAAAGTGATGGCAAATTTCTCATTGAACTGAGAGAGAATTGATGCTTCATGACATTGAATCTTTTTCTTTTTTGTGGGGGTAGGGGATGGAGTTTTGTTCTTGTTGTTCAGGCTGGAGTACAATGGTGCAATCTTGGCTTACCACAACCTCTGCCTCCCTGGTTCAAGTGATTCTCCTGCCTCAGCCTCCTGAGTAGCTGGGATTACAGGCATGCGCCACCACGGCTGGCTAATTTTGTATTTTTGGTAGAGATGGGGTTTCTGCATGTTGGTCAGGCTGGTCTCAAACTCCCAACTTCAGGTAATCTGGCCATCCCAGCCTCCCAAAGTGCTGGGATTATAAGAGTGAGCCACCACACCCAGCCGACATTGAGTCTATTCAAGAACATGAGTGTCTCTCCCCAGTTGATTTTTTGTTTCAAGCAAGTTTTTGTATTCTTAAAGAATGTTGTCAAGTTTTCCTTACTTAGAATTTACATGTTTCTTGGTAGGTGTATTCATGAGTACTGTATGTTTGTCTGTTGCTTTTATATGAAATAAAGGCTATTTCTTATTTTTTATGTGCATATATGCATACACACACACAGTTGACCCTTGAACAATATGAGTTTGAACTGTGCAGTTCTAATTATGTGGATTTGTTTTAATAAACATTGGAAAGGTTTTTGATAATTTGAAAAATCTTGCATACAAACTGCATAGCCTAGAAATATCAAAAAATTAAGATTAATTAGGCATTCCTGAATGCATAAAATATATGCATATACTAGTCTTCTTTAATAATTTATTACTATGAAATATATACAAATTATTCTAAAAAGCTAAAATTATCAAACCTTATATACAGTAAGAGTGTACATGGCACTATTTTCAGTGGAGAGAAATGTAAACGAAAGTCAAGATGCAGCATTACAACATACTTAAAATTAACTATAGTAAATACTGTACTGCTGTCATATTGTAATTTCATAGTTATGGCCTGTTGCTATTGCAGTGAGCTCAAGGGTTGCAAGTTAACATGCTTAAAATGGTGTGCGTTGCTTATCATCTCCACATCCACAGCAGTTTGTCTGTCCAGTAAATTGTGTATTACCCTAAAAAGTGATCATGCGGTTCTCATATATTTTTCATCGTGTTTCGTGCAATACTGTAAACTTTTGAATAACAGCGTGGGACTCATATGAGGTCCCATTAGTGATGCTAGGAAGTGTTCCTAAGAAACAGAGAAAAGTCATACAAATGTTAGACAAAGTTGAATTACTTGGTATGTACCATAGAATGAGGTCTGCCATTGCCTGCCATTTCAAGATAAATGAATCCAGCATAAGACTCATTGTAAGAAGAAAAGGAAATGTATAGTCATCACTGCAGTTATGCCAGCAGGCATGAAAACCTTCACTTTTTGCAAAACACCTTTTTATCTCATATTGAAAATGCAGCTTTTATGTGAGTGCAGGATTACTATAAGAAAGGCATACCTATAGATTCTGATATGATGAAGAAAAAGCAGTGATTTTACGACAACATAAAGGAAAAGGAAGGTGAAAGAGCTAAAGCTGGAGAATTTAATGCCAGCAAAGGATGGTTTGGTAATTTTAGAAAGAAGTTTGGTTTAAAAAATGTCAAAATAACTGGAGAAACAGCTTCTGCCATCTGAGAGGCAGCAGATTAATTCCCAGATCAGATTCTATTAAGAAAATTCCCTGAATGGGTTTTTAATGCAGATGAAAGTACTCTGTTCTGGAAATAATGCTACAGAAGACTTTTTTTTAGTAAGGAACTTACGTGAGCACCAGGATTTAATGGAAGAAGGGTTAGCTAACTCTGTTTTGTGCAAATGCAGTCCAATTTATGATCTTGACTACCCTCCTCTATAAAGCTGCTCATGTTGAGCTTTGAAGGAAAAAGATAAATGCCAGCTGCCAGTCTTTTGGTTATACAAGAAGGCCTGGATGAAAACCCTTTATCTGGATTGGTCCCATCAGTGCATTGTTCCTGACATCAGGAAGTACCTTGCCAGGAAGGGACTGCCTTTTAAAATCTTCTTGATATTAGACAATGCCCCTGGCCACCCAAAACACATGAGGACCTTTAAGGCTCATTACATTAGATGCTATATAGAAAGGATTATTAATACTGTGGAAGAGAACCTTGGATAGCAAGGACATCATCAAAGTCTGCAAGGATTACACCATTGAAGACACGCCATCATTATCATAGAAAAAGCCATGAACGTCATCAGGCCTGAAACAATAAATTCCTTCTTGGAGAAACCCATGCTGTTCATGAAACAACTGGTTTTACGACAGAGCTACTCAAGGAAGTTGTGTGTATGGCAAAAAAGGTGGAGGGGTTTCAAGATGTGGATCTTGGAGAAGCTCAAGAGCTAGTAAACACCATACTAGAGGAGGTAACAACACAACTTGATGGAGATGAGCGCTTGCGAACCAGTGCCGGTGATGAGAAAAAAGATATAGAAGTAGTAGTCCCAGGAAACAAATTGACATCAGCTGATTTGGCTGAAGGATTCTGATTATTCAGGATGGCTTTTGACTTCTTTTGCGACATGGATCCTTCTGTGGTTTGGGTACTTAAGCAAACAGGGATTGGTATAGAACATTTTTAGAGAAGTGAAATAAAGTGAAATAGAAATTATGATGTATTTCCATTCATAACATTTTTTTTCCTCTGGCTTACTTTATTGTAAAAATATGGCATATAACACCTCTAACATGCCACCTGTGTGTTCAACTGTTCATGTTACCTGTAAGGCTTTCTAGTCAACAGTAGGCTTATTACATTGAGTCTCAGGGAGTTATACACAAAATTTCAACTTCATGGGAGTTGGTCCCGTGTTTATTCAAGAGTCAACTGTGTATTTTATTATTTTTTTTGAGACAGAATTTCGCTTTTGTCGCCCAGACTGGAGTGCAGTGGCATGATCTCCACTCACTGCAGCCTCCGCCTCCCAAGTTCAAGCTATTCTCCTGCCTCGGCCTCCCAAGTAGCTGGGATTACAGGTGCCTGCCACCATGTCCAGCTAATTTTTGTATTTTTAGTGGGTATGGGGTTTTACCATGTTGGCCAAGCTGGTCTTGAACTCCTGACCTTGAGTGATCTGCCTGCCTCGCCCTCACAAAGTGCTGGGATTACAAGTGTGAGCCACCACATCCTGTCTCAACTGTGTATTTTTAATCCTGCTACCATTCTTAATTGTTTATAATAGATTTTTAGTCATATAATCTGTAAGTAAGACATAGTTTTATTCCTCATTTTCCAAATCTTATACATGTAATTGTTTTCTACTCTCTAGTTGTATTGATTAAAATCTCTAGTACAGTGTCAGGTAGTGTGGGCTTTAAATAGGCATTTCTTAACTTGTTTATGACTGTAGTCAAATGTGTCTAGTGTTTCTCCCATTAAGATAATGACATTGAAGCCAAAATACACATTTCATCTTGTAAAGGAAGTAACATTATTTGTTTTTTATTGAATTTTTAAATAGTTATTGATGTAGAATTTTATCAAATGCCTTTTCAGCATCTCTGGCCAGTGATACTAATTTTATTTATCAATTATTATGCTAAATCATATGAATAGATTTTTGAATATGAAAGAATTCCTGGAGTCGACCCAGCTTGGACTTTGAAGTGGTAGTGTTCTGTGTCTACTAGTTTGTATTACTGTAGATGGGTTTATAGATTTTTGTACCCATCTTCACATTTTGGTGTCATGAATATACTTGTTTCATAAAAAAATTTGTAAGTTTTTGTTTGTGTTCTTAATATAACAGTTTAAATGGTGTGGAATAATTTGATTTTAGAAGTTTGGAAGAATTTCTTTGTAAACTTTTTTGAACTTGAATCTTCTGTCATATGGTAGACCTCAACAATTAGCTTATTTCTTCTTTGAAAAGTGGTATAGGTAAACTTCCTTTTTTTCCTGGGGTCACTTTTGGTAAATTGTTTTCCCACTATATTACTAGATTCATCTAGGTTTCTAATTTATTTGCATGGAGTTATATAAAGTGCAGTATGTATATAAAATTTGCTCGCTATGTGAAATTATTGCCTGTCTTTTTTTTTTTTTCATTTTAACTGGCATGAAATACCAATCTCCTCAGAATTTTGCATTTATCTGGTCAGTAGGGATGCTGAGCTTTTTTGTATTAGCTAAAGGTCTATTGTATTTTTCAAACAGCAGCCTTTAAAATTTATTTCAGTACTTTTAAAAGACACATTTTATTTTGGATCTTGGTTTTTGCTGTTAGCTGTTTTTCATTTCTTTCACTTTCTTCCAGGAAAGACTTTGTTTTCACGTTTTCTGAGGTAGTTAATTCACTTTTTTTCGTCTTTCATTTTTTTAAATAATTTTCTTGAATGTGCTTTGGCTGAGTCCCAAGGGTTAAATTAGGTTTAATTTTTATATCAATTAAATTAAAAATAATGGCCAAAACCACAATTACTTTTATAATATGTAGTTTTTAAAATTATTTTTGTTTCCTGGGAGTTCTAAATTTTAATCCCTTTCCCCTTTAAGATGTGAGTTTGAAAATGAAATTTTGTAAATGAGATTTTGACATTTTCAAATAGCAGTCTTATATTTGTAGATAAGCCTCGCCACTCCCTAAATATGGAACATGTAAACCAGGTAGCGTAAGTCTTTAACTTAGCCAGAGCCTTTGACCCAGGAAACCTCCTGGGATGACACATCTGTTTCCCTTTCCCTCTACCTCTGTTTCCTTTTCTTCCATCTTTCCTTCCATCTTTTCCCTTGTATGTGCACATGCACACACATGTATTTAGCCCCAGCGGTCTCTTGATGTAACAAGTTAAAATTTCATTTATTTGTCTTCAACAGAGGGAGAGAAATCCTGTATCATGTGAATAGTACTCTTGAATTTGTAATAAAATGTAATAGGAAATTGATTTTTGTGGAAACATGTTTTATCAAACAGCTCTTATTTTTTAAGGGAAGTACTTTAGTGGAAGAAAAATGACATTTACTTTTTTTTAATGTAAAGTGTATTTTTCAATAGCAGGAGCAGTATTTTTAAAGTTTGGGTGGGAGAAGATGGTTTTTTGGAGGTTACTTATGTTTGTAGCTATTTCTGAATAGGAATTTGAAATGGAATGTATGAATGTATTATATAGTATATTGATAATTAGATTATAAGATGCAAAAAGCTAATTATAAGTTTAAAATATTAATATAAACTGATACTAGATTCTTTTTAAAGAGCAATGCATTACAGAAGGAAGTTTATTTTCGGAAGCATTTTCTAGGAACACTGATTAGATATATAATCAATATAAAATTTGATATTCACTCTAATTGAAGATACCATCTCAAATTTTCTTAAAATAGAATTCTGAAAATATGTTTTTTGTGAAATTCAGGAAAAGAGAAAGATTCCTGTGTTTCACAATGGATCTGCCCCCACATCGGGTGAGACTCCTAAAGAGGCCGCTCATCATGCTGGGCCTGAGCTACAGAGGACTGGACGGTGGGTGCAAATACTGATATTTTGAGGGGGTTGGGGGATGATTTGATGAAAACATAAATATTATATTTTTTCCACATATTTGGAACCTAATTTTGTACAGTATTTTTTCATATTTAGAAAAATGTCCATTATTATATATAAGGAAAATTTATAAGCATATAAGAAGATGTATAAATAATTTTAATAGTATGTACCAAGCTTTAGCTTAAAAGGAAAATAATGGACCATATATTCAGAATATTGTAGTTATATAGTGTGTAGGTTAATTTCCATTACTTATACAGTAGGTTCTTGAAGAAGATGTAGAGTCTTATAATTCTCCATGTTGAGTTAGAGAATTATGGGACCAGAGGGTAATTACAACGAATGATTTCTTTGTATATGTGCACAGATTTAAAACTCTTAAATGAGCATTGTATCATGAGGTAATGTAAATTTCATGGACAAGCATGATTAAACCGTTGTATTGATCTCTGGAAACCTAGCTAGAAAAATTAAGGAGTTAATTTTTGTAATAAAAAATAGAAATATTGGCAGATGCAAACATTGCCTTAAAATATTTTGTAGAAGTAGATAAATATTGTAGTATTTTCATACTGTAGAAAAACATGTGGCTATTGATTATTGTTCACTGGTGGTCAGTATCTAATTAAATAATCTTAAATATTAAATCTTTGTTTTGAAAAAAAAAAAAAAAAAACAGGATATCTTATACAGATACACTATTAGGGATTTTGATGACATCCTTAAAGGGTACTGTATAATAAAAATAAATAACAACTGGCATACTGCATGTAGACTTTAGAGAAGCTGAAATTAACAATTCATTGACTAATGAAGTGTATTAGTCTCTGTGAATATAATAGAGGAAAGATTTTGACCCTGTGTGAACAGTACTGTTCTATTATTAGCTATTATCGCTTCTTCAAACTGGGATAGGTTTAGTTATTGAGAAGCACTATGTCTGGCCTCCACTGATCTCAGTCACCTGAGAGCATCTTTATGCCCTCTACTAAGTAATCATTGATTTGATGATACACCATAGATTCATACTTTAGTTTATTGATGGAACCTTTTTTATTGCAAGCTGATTCCCCTTGCTGTCAGATTATGAGCAGAGTACCACTTGTCAATTTGTGTTGAGGATTTATTTCAGTATTCACTTAAAAAAAATTACAGTGGTAAAGCTTGAAATATCCAAAGCATTTGAAATCTTAATGTTAGTTTCTTTTGGTCAGTTTTCCTGCAGTTGGGATTTGAATGATTATATATGTTACGAGTATTACAACTTTTTCGAATTGCCAGTTTAGTCACCAGTGTTTGTTGAGTGCCTACTATGTCTCAGGCAGTGTACTAGACACTGTAGATAACGCAATGAACAAGAAAAAGTCTCCTTTCATGGAGCTTATATTTTATTGAAATGTCTTCAAGTCAGATGTATCAAAAAATTTGATTGTTAAAAATGTTGAAATGGTATGGCTTTGATGTACACACAAATTTTTAATCTAATTGAAACCTCTTAGTTTTATTGATGTGCATATTAGTTTGTCTACATGTGCAGTAAATTACATATACTGGAATGGTTTTAAGGGATTTTTCCCCCCTAGACAAAGTATTTATATGATTGAAGTACCAGTTTTTAAAGTTATTGAGTTCATACTACTTGTGCATCTAAGCACAACATACTAAATTTATATTAAAGTGTATTTGGATACTAATTGCCTTCCTCGTATTTGTGATGGTTGCCTTTAAGATTTTAATGTAGACAATTAATAGAATTGCTTATGCACATTTTCATAAATGGGTTGTTAGGTTTTGTTGTTATACCTTGCCTTGCACGTTTGTGTCCAAAATTACATTTACTCATATAAAATCATTTGCCTGCAGTCTTTTCATTATATAGTCCATAAAATACAGATATTTGTCTCTTATTAATGAACTATAACATTCCTCTATCATCAGTAGATTAGATTAAATGAGTGTATCTTCTGTAATTTATATTGTAAGTTAAATTGGATTTAACATTTTGTTGACAAAACACCTAGGCAACAGCAGTTTTGTGTAGCCCATAGTTTTAGTTTGAACTAGCTAGAATCCACTAGTGTACAGTTTGACGAGTTTCATCTCACCTATTTAGGCTTTTTGGTGGTTTGATACTTGACATCAAAAGGAAAGCACCTTTTTTCTTGAGTGACTTCAAGGATGCATTAAGCCTGCAGTGCCTGGCCTCGATTCTTTTCCTATACTGTGCCTGTATGTCTCCTGTAATCACTTTTGGAGGGCTGCTTGGAGAAGCTACAGAAGGCAGAATAGTGAGTACAAAGATTGGTAGTGGCCAGGCTCTTAGCTCTTCAGAGGCAAGTGTCTGTATGCATTTGTCTCACTATTCATACTTTTATTTGAAGAGTCTACCCACAGCATGATTAACCTGACCCAAAGCAGACTTTCCCCAAAGGTAATTACTGTGGAAAACATGGGGAATCCATTTGAACAGAAGATGCACAGTTGAGGTAAAAAAAAAAAAAAAAAAATTAAAAAAAGTTTACTTTGGCTTGCTGGATGAATGGTTTTATAAATTGAGTAAAAGGCTTGAATTGTCTTTGAGGTGGGGTGGACTGGGAGAAGACACCAGTTGAACTGATTCTGGGTGGGTCATGGGGGTCTTTATCAGTGGGGCTACTTCATATCCTGTAAGGTATCATAGGATTAGTTAGAGCCACATGGTGAATATTAACTCCTCAGTTCTGGCTGGTAGGCCCAGACTAGACTATTTGGAAGAATAGAACATAATTGTGGAAACTGTGGCCTTTTGAAGTGGCATTTAATTTTGCCATTATTAAATCTGTGTGAAAGTAGCTAAAACTTTTATTTGGAAAATATAATTGAAAGCTTCATTCATTCTTTGATATGACTAAAATGAAAGTTTTTTATGTTTTCCTGTTCCCAGTTATACTGAATTCAGAGCTATGGTGCTTTGTTAAATCTTGAAAGGCATTTCATTGTTGTTGTTGATATGCATTTTAATGGCATTTAAATGAGATGACTTGTAATTCTTAAGTGTATTTTACTTAATTGTATTTATTCTTGGGAGAACATTCTTTTTTTTTTTTTTTTTA